GGTATAATAGAATATTATAGTGAAGAATATGCACTTTATGCGTTTTCAAACCGTAAATTATTCGCTAGAGCGACTTAACCGGTTTCAGATCGGCCCCTATTTTAGATCAATCTGTCATAATCTAGTGATTTACAAGCGTCATTACGCACTTTTCGATGTAAGAAGCCATTAAAATGTGAAGTGTACGTCTCTTCTTCGCCTTGATGGGATGATTGCAACAGCTCATTTTGTTGTAGATGCCGCCGGTAAATTTCCAGGTGGTGCATTAGGCATCGACTTTGGTAATACTACTTCTTCTGTGGCTGCAATGACTTCAGGGTCTCCCCAAATACTTCTGAATGATATATTTCTTGAGTCGACGCCGTCATGCGTGCGGGTACTGAGCAAGGATGACGTCACTGTAGGCACATTGGCGGAACGTTCATCATTGATGTATCCAGACTGTACCATTAGAAGTAAGTTGAATAATCTCTGCGTGTACTGTAAAAGAATATAAGTATGCGGCCCGTGTATTTCAGAAATTTTGCCTTTCTTGCAGATGTTAAGAAGATTCTTGGAATGCCATGTTCTGAAATACTTGCAAATAATGTTTCTATCACATCAAAAGAGGTTCTTATAATATACTACAGTGGTTTTTGTTTGTGTTTTTTTCAATATACAGTTTTGTTGTATCCATTTGTGTCGGTAAATAAATGTGTTGAACATTACTTCCAGGCTGCTGGTTGGATTTTGAGGGAGCTAAAGCGCATTGCTGAGCAAAAATTAATTCAATCAGAAAGAGCTGTGATAGGTGTACCGTCGTACTTTAACAAGGAACAACAGTCTTCACTTGTCTACGCAGGTACTGTGGTGGTGTTACGTTCGATAGGGAAGACTGTAACCCGTTCTGCATTTTAGATGAGTTACACGCGTGCGGGTAAATGCTACATTGTTAAAAAAAAGTTGTTGTTAATTCACTACATAAGTTTTGTTAATTTTGTTGGCAACATGTGGTCAGGTTCACAACAACATCTGCAATGTGGAGGGAAGGTGGAAAATTTTGAGGAACCTCCATTTTTGAGGAAAACTCCCCAGATCTTGCATCATATTTTGAAGGAGCTCCTTACAAAATGTGGGATTTTCTTCATTTAATGATGCGAGATTTGAGAAGTTTTCCTCAAATATGGCAGTTCCTTAAAGTTTTCCCTTTTTCCTCCAAAAATCAGACATTGCTTTTACCGTGTGTTTTTAACAAACATGTTGTCAAATAAGAACATTTATAAAAATCTCAGATACGATCTTTCGGACTGAGAAAGTGACTGTTCCCTACCATTGTTTTGTTACCTCAGAAAAATTCTTATATTATCCTGTGTTCTGCTTGCGAACGGAATGTGTGGTCAACAAAATTAACACTTCTCTTGTACGTGTACAGAAAAGCAATACTTAGTACTTTCTGTTGTGTGCCAATATAGGCCGAATATGACAAGTTTTAAAATTGTTTAGAGGGAAGGAACACATATCTTTTAAAACAAGAGAGTTATCATGCACGCAGTCTGTTGTCATAGGTAACAATTACTTTTAACAGTGTAACAGTGTGCTGCATCCTACTTTCACTTTGAATTTTGTTATTGCTGATTATTGACCGCTCTCATAATAGAAATTAGATCCTTATGTTTTCTTTCCACCCCAGAAAACGTACCTTTTATTTCACGTTGGAAGTTCTCTCGTTTTCCTACATGAAAGTTTGACTTTTGATGCTCCGTGAAAAATAATTTAATCCCTACCATGCCGGGAAATCTGAAGTTTTTACTGAAATTGGTTACCTTGTTTATTACAAAATAATGTTAGTGCTTATGACATTTTTCTCTCCAGCGTGCAACATTGCGGGCTTTACCTCGGTAAAGCTGGTCAATGAAACTTCTGCTGCAGCTGTCTGCTATTCATCTAAAATTGAAATGTTGGAGCATATTGGAATCGTTGACATTGGTGGAGGCGGTGGCTCTGTCGCGGTTGCCGAGGTATCGAAGAACAACGTGCGCGTCTTAGCTTCTTCCGTTGTCCAGCTACCTGGTGGCGAAGACATCAATGAAAGAATGTGTATCTACCTCCTAAAAGTTAGTACTCTGTTTTACTCAATATATTTCTTACGCGAAGTGCTACTGACATTTTTCTAGTGAGGGGCAATTTATGCAAGGGCATAACGGCCTCATTTTTAGACAGACCCACAGACTGTCCGTACCAGGAGGAAACATGCCCCCCCCCCTCCACCACAACCACCACCACCACCGCCACTACCACCACTACCACCAACCTCCACTGCAGCTTGCCCCTACCCATCCTCCTTGGCACCCAGACTCCCCTCCCAACCGGCCAGGAGCCGGCCACACCATTTTACCCGTGCGCGATTCGATTTGATATCTCGAAGAACTCAAATACCGGAAGTCAGGGTTAAGTGTCACTCATAATAGAGGCTTGTCGTCATTGCAACTCTCAACTCTCAACTCTTCTCCGACCAAAATTTTATCACGATTTATTCTTACGGGCTTCAATCGAACGTGTCCAATGGCCACACTGTGAAAAATAGTAGGTACGTTTACAGGAAAATTTTCCTTGACGCAAGTTGTAAAATTACAATTTGTAATCGTAAAAATACATGCAGTACGTATCGACTTCAAATCGATTGGCGAGTAAAAAAATGTGCTCTCGTAAATTTACTATTTAAATTCTAATTCAAGTTTACAAAATTTTTGTAAAATTACGACGAAATGTTTTACAGTGCCAAGAACGTTCAATGAACCGCCAGACTTTCGGTATTTTTGTTCTTCGACATGTCGAAAAGCGTTCCGGAGAAATAGTCTATCGTCGTGGACTGTTGTGTTGTTGCTAATTTACCTGTGTACCGAAACTAGAGGGGGGGAGGGGGGGAGCTTTGCGGTCTAGCCGACGTGACTGTCCCAGTCTTATAGTCCTATGGGCCAATTTTCGTTACATGCTCTGAACAAAAAAAAAGAAAAGAAAAAAATACAGATTCGAGCTGGGATGCTAGGTGCAACCCATTTCTAGGTCGCATATTGATTTTATTTATTGTATTGCACACTTTATAATTCTATGAATCGAATTTTAATTGATAAATTACCTGGTAAATTCTTATTTTTACTGGGAACCATTCAACACTGTTAAAAAAAATCCTGGGATTTCACGGAGGAACACTCGTGAAAAGTATTGCCAAAGTCCTTTGGGATTTCCCAAAAAACTCTTTAGATTTCACGTGTTGAGTTTTTGCTTTGAAACATATAGACGAATAAAAACTTCCACCTTCAAAATCTGTTTTAGTACACGAAAACTAAGAACGGAGTCCTCTGGGAATTTCTAAAGTAGTAGAAATTGAATCTTCGGGAAATCCCAAGAAATTTTTAACAGTGAACACGAGCAATTACGTCCTGCTGTGACCCGTCCTGCTTGACCTGCTGGGCTGGTAGCACTCTCGGTGCGCGACGAAAACGTCTTTGTGCAGCAGTAGTTACTCACAAATCTTGTGAGTAATATTGACAATTAAAATTGTACTTACGAACAATTTTTTTCTCGGTGGACTTAAAATGGCGATTGGTGCGTGGTGCGTACCAACTTTCACAATAACTCGTATTACTCATAAAGTATGTGAGTATTACTGCTGTACGAAGAAGTTCATCGTTCTATACATATGTCAGTATCGGGCTTAAAGTCAGCGAAT